GTTCAAGGGTTGGTGTTTCCATAGTGTAGGGATTCTTTGCTTATCACACTCACTCCCTGAACCAAGGCAGAGGCACACACAGAGAGAGGGAGTGGGAGTGGAATTGTCTTCGAGCTGGGGAGCAATGGTATATGTTTGTTTGCAGATTCGGGAGATGCTGGGCGTGATTCAGAGGCTCAGTGACGAAAAGGAGATCTTTCAACAGAAAAGCGAAAGTGCAGAACAGCGACTGAAGGTTAGTCCACATAAATGTACAATAAACACGTGCGCTCTTATGGCACAGAAAGAGGCCATTATTACCAAGTGAATGAAATGGGAATGTAGGCATGTCTAACTGCAGAGATAGCAGGAACTGCAGATGCTGGAGAATCTGAGATAACAAGGTGCAGAGCTGGATGAACACAGCAGGCTGAGCAGGAAAGCTGCTGTTTCAGGCCTAGACCCTTCTTCACTGCAACTGTGCACGTTCTGGGTCAGACTATGGCTGGAGATTGGGTGCAGTTTTGTCTGGAAAAAAACAGGCCTTATATTTGCAGTCAGGAGCAGTTCGTTTTGACCTTCTCCTGGGTCGACCTTTCGAGGAGAGAATAAAATAGAATTTCCTCGATTGAGGTTTATCTGTTGGACTTTAGCAGATTGAGAGGGGATATTATTGAGATCCTGAAGGGGACCCAATTCGCTGGATATGTGGAGAGGATCTCCCCCTTGTGGGAGAGACTAAAATGACAGGAGACTGTCGGGTTAGGTCTGACATCTAACTGAACGCAACATCTTTGGGGTGGCTCAGTGGTTAGCACAGCTGCCTCACAGCGCCAGGGATCCAGCTTCGACTCCATCCTCTGAGGGCGACAGTCTGTGTGGAGTTTGCATTTTCTCCCTGTGTCTGTGTGGGGTCCCTCTGGGTGTTCAGGCTTCCATCCACAGACCAAAGGTGTGCAGGTTAGGGTGGATTGGCCGTGCTAAATTGCCCCGTAGTGCCCAGGGATGTGCAGGTTAGGGTGGATTGGCCGTGCTAAATTGCTCATAGTGTGCAAGTTAGGGTGGATTGGCCAGGCAAAATTGCTCATAGTGTCCAGGGATGTGCAGGCTAGGTGGGTTAGGCATGGGAAATGCAGGGTTATAAGAATGGGTTGGCATGAGCTGAATGGCCACTGTAGGGATTCTATGATCTTTGAGACAAATGGATTCCAGTCTCCATCTTACTGGGACCACATGCAGCATGATATGGGAGGGGAAGGCTATTGCTCAGTACCAGAGCAGGGCTCTGTTCTCTTTTGAATTTTTCAGTGTTCTGTAACCCATGTATTGTTCCTATATTGTGAGAGTCATAGAGATGTACAGCATGGAAACAGAAACTTCGGTCCAATTTGTCCACACTGACCAGATATCCTAAATTCATCCAGTCCCATTTGCCAGCATTTGGCCCATATCCCTCTAAACCCTTCCTATTCATGTACCCATCCAGATGCCTTTTAGACGTTGTAATTGTACCAGCCTCCTCTGACAGCTCAGTCCATACATGCACCACCCTCAGTGTGAAAAAGTTACCCCTCAGGTCCCTTTTAAATCTTTCCCCTCTCACCTTGAACCTATGCCCTCTAGTTTTGGACTCCCCTACTCTGGGGATATATCTTTCTTTTTCACCTTATCTGTGCCCCTCATGATTTTATAAACCTCTATAAGGTCCAGGGAAAATAGCCCCAACCTATTCACCCTCTCCCTATAACTCAAAGCTCTCTAGTCTCTCTCAAATCTTTTCTGAACCCTTTCAATTTTAACAACATCAGTCCAATAGCAGGGAGACCAGAATTGCACGCAGTATTCCAAAAGCGGCCTCACCAATGTCCTTTACAGCCGCAACATGACCCTCCCAAATCATATCCTCAATGCACTGACCAATAAAGGCAAGCGTACCAAACACCTTCTTCACTGCCCTGTCTACCTGTGACTCCACTTTCAAGGAACTATGAACCTGTACCCCAAGGTCTCTTTGTTCAGCAACACTCCCCAGGACCTTACCATTAAGTGTATAAGTCCTGCCCTGATTTGCCTTTCCAAAATGCAGCATCTTGCATTTATCTAAATTAAACTCCATCTGCCACTCCTTGGCCCAGCTGATCAAGCTCCCGTTGTACTCTGGGATAACCTGTCTCACTGTCCACTACACCGCCTGTTTTGGTGTCAAATGCAAACTTACTAACCACGCCTCCAATATTCACATCCAAGTCATTTGTATAAATGATGAAAAGTAGTAGACCCGGCACCGATCCCTGTGGCACACCACTGGTCACAGGCCTCCAGTCTGAAAAGCAACCCTCCACCACAACCACTGCCCTCTGTCTCCGACAGTCAAGCCAATTTTGTATCCAATTGGCTAGCTCCCTCTGAATTCCATGTGACCTAGATAAGCTAACTATTGTTGCGTCAGGTATAAATACCCTGCTGGTAAAATGCCACTGACTATATCTGTGGCAAAATGTGAGGACAAGCCAAATAGCACACAGGTTAAGAATAAGGGGTCTTAGTGCGGATTACAAGTTCAGAGGGCAAAAGAAAATGGACTGTTGGTCTTTATCTCGAAGAGAATGGAGTATAAAAGTTAGTAGTTTTGGCTAAAACTACACAAAACGCTAGTCAGACCACAGCTGGAACACTGTGGGCAGTTTTGGGTCCCCTTATAGAGTCATACAGCACAGAAACAGACCCTTTGGCCCAACCAGTCCATGCTGACCCATAATCCCAAACTAAACTAGTCCTACCTGTCTGCTCCTGGCCCACATCCCTCCAAACCTTTCCTATCCATGTACTTATCCAAGTGTCTTTTAAACGTTGTAACTGTACACACATCCACCCCTTCCTCAGGAAGTTCATTCCACACACGAACCACTCTCCGTGTAACAAATTGCCCCTCACGTCGTTTTTAAATTTCCCTCCACTCACCTTAAAAATATGCCCCCTAGTCTTGAAGTCTCCCAACCCTAGGGAAAATTCGCCTTATCTATGCCCCTCATGATTTTCTAAACCTCAATAAGGTCACTCCTCAACCTCCTACGCTCCAGGGGGAAAAGTCCCAGTCTCTCCTTATAACTCAAACCATCCATTCCCAGCAAAAACCTGGTAAACCTTTTCTGGGCCCTCTCCAGCTTAATAATACCCTTCCTATAACAGGGCGACCAGAACTGGACACAGTGCTCCTGAAGAGGCCTCACCAATGTCCTGTACAACCTCAACATGACATCCCAACTCCTACACTCAAAGGTCTGAGCAATGAAGGCAAGTGTGCTAAACGCCTTCTTAACCGACCTGTCTACATTACGACACCAAATCACCTCTGACTCAGTACAGCAAGCGAGAAGGTGGAAGGGGAATTTTGTGGGTCCAACTGCTGTATTTATTGAACGTCTGTCTCTTTGGCCCCTCTACCAGGAAGCAGAGAGACATCACAGAGAAGTGATTTCAACTTACCGATCTCACCTACTCAACGCAGCCCAGGTAAGGCAGCGACAAGATGGAACAGTTACATTCTGACCATTGGGAAATAAGGACTGGAACTTACAGGCCATCAAACACTCCAGGGACAGGGACAGCACAGGGTTAGATACAGAGGAAAACTCCCTCTACACTGTTCCCCCCCATCAAACACTCCCAGGACAGGGACAGCACGGGGTTAGATACAAAGTAACGCTCTCTCTACACTGTCCCCAATCAAACACTCCCAGGATAGGGACAGCACAGGGTTAGATACAGAGTAACACTCCCTCTACACTGTCCCCCCCATCAAACACTCCCAGGGACAGGGACAGCATGGGGTTAGATACAGACCTCTCCAGATGTGTTTGTGACTGGGTCTTGCTAGACGCTGGGAGATAATGGTGTGACCGAGGGCAATGGTAAAGCCTCAAATGACATGGTGGCAGTGGGTGGGTAGCGTGAGAATGAAAGCGGGAACCGGGGGACTGAGCCCTGATAGTATTGACTGGTGGGGCGGCCTCAGAGGGCCGAACAGCCTGCCCCAGCTCTGAAAATCCCTGTTCCCAGAGATTCCCGCGGGCAACGTTCCAAGGCAGGAATGATGGCATCTGTTTCTCCGTTCCAGGGCCTGATGGACGAAGAGGTGTACCTCGTCCTGGCGGGAATCTGGAAGATGCAGCAGGGAATATTTTAACGGAAGGAGCAAAGGGATTAGTGGGAGGTGGGGTGGGGGTGTTGACTAACGGGAGAAGTGTTGGCAAGAACGTGACTGGCATCGCTACGTACCCAGGCCCAGAGATGGATGCTCCAAGCAATAGCCTCTCAGATCCTCCATTCCCACTCTGTTCCACACCGAGAGTGGCATCGCGGCAGAACTACAGCGGATTGGCACACGACCAGCGGGCGCTGAGGGAGGGTCACTGGACCCGAAACTTTAGCTCTGATTTTATTTTTTTTCTTCTCTTCGTGGATGCTGCCAGACCCGCTGAGCTTTTCCAGCAACTTCTGTTTCCTCTTTTCTCCCCAACCCTTGCCACCTCGGCACCAGCTTCCGTGAGCACCATTCACTGTCACAGGCTATTCGACCTGGTGGGGCCTCCCACACACCGATCTGGCGGCTCCTCGTCCTCCGTGGAGAGAGAGAGTGGGCACTTGAGGTGGCTGAGAGTGGGCACATTTTACTCAATAACATGCATCATTCCTCTCAAACCCTGACAACAAAAGTCAGGCCCAACATGAGGTTCACAGCTTCTCTTGCGGACTCTCTGACCACACGGCTTCTTCTGTGGCTCAAACCTGAGCGTCCTCAGCTGAGGAAGTCAACTGATTTCCTCCTTTTCGAGGGGTTAGATCGCAAGTAAAGAACTTGTGACGATACCCCCACCAGTTTAGAAAGATCTTTTTGAGACTTACGAAATCCCGAGGATGTTGGGGGCATCTTGGGAGGTTGTTCATCTTAATCAGGCTGACGAAAACAAGGGTCAGAGCGTCGAAAAAAGGCCAAATTCCCCATCAAAGGCAGATTTATTCTTGTCTGAGAGGATTGATGGACTGTGGAATTTCCTTGGCACTGTCTGATGAGCTGAGGTTGAGCAGGCCCAGGCCCCTTCACTCCTCACAGGTTAGAAGATTGAGAGGTGACCTTATTGAAATGTTCTCTTAGGGGGAAATTGACAGGAGAGATGCAGAGAGGTTGTTACTCCCATGTGTGGGACAGCCTAGGAACCAGAGGGGCATCATCTTAGCATTAGGGGTGGCCCGTTGAAGACAGAGGTGGGGAGGAATACAGGGAGAACTAGCCATTTGGATACGAAGGTAGGAGACAGAGGGTGGTGGTGGAGGGTTGTTTCTCAGGCTGGAGGCCTGTGACCAGCGGTGTGCCACAAGGATCGGTGCTGGGTCCACTGCTTTTCATTATTTATATACATGATTTGGATGTGAACATAGGAGGTATGGTTAGTAAGTTTGCAGATGACACTAAAGTTGGAGGTGCAGTGGACAGCGAAGAAGTTACCTCAGAGTACACCAGGATTTTGATCAGATGGGCCAATGGGCTGAAGAGTTTAATTTTAATAAATGTGAGGTGCTGGATTTTGCAAAGGTAGATCAGGGCAGGACTTATACACTTAACGGTAAGGTCCTGGGGAGTGTTGCTGAACAGAGACCTTGGAGTGCAGGTTCATAATTCCTTGAAAGTGGAGTCGCAGGTAGACGGGGCAGTGAAGAAGATGTTTGGTATGCTTGCCTTTATTGGTCAGAGCATTGAGTACAGGAGTTGGGAGGGTCATGTCGCGGCTGTACAGGGCATTGGTTAGGGCCACTTTTGGAATACTGTGTGCAATTCTGGTCTCCCTGCTAAAGGAAGGTTTCTGAAACTTGAAAGAGTTCAGGAAAGATTTACACAGATGTTGCCAGAGTTGGAGAGTTTGAACTACAGGGAGACGCTGAATAGGCTGGGGCTATTTTCCCAGGAATGTCGGAGGATGAGGAGTGACCTTATGGAGGTTTATAAAATCATGAGGGGCGTGGATAGGGTGAATAGCCAAGGTATTTTCCCCAGGGTAGGTGAGTCCAAAACTAGAGCGGCATAGGTTTAAGGTGAGGAGGGAAAAGATTTAAAAGGGACCTGAAAGGCAACTTTTTCACACAGAGGGTGGTGTGTGTATGGAACGAGCTGCCAGAGGAAGTGGTGGAGGCTGGTACAATTACAACATTTAAAAGGCATCTGGATGGGTATATGAATAGGAAGGGTTTAGAGGGATATGGGCCAAATGCTGGCAAATGGGACTAGATTAGTGTAGGATATCTGGTCAGCACGGACGGGTTGGGCCGAAGGGTCCGTTTCTGTGCTCTATATCTCTATGACTCAGCGAGGGAGCATTCAGAGGAGCATGGACAGGAATGGGGCCAGAACCAGATGGTACCGAATGGCAGAACAGGTCAGATGGGCTGACTTGCCTCATCCTGACCTTTGTTTCTGACGCGCAAAACGTTTTGAGGGGCTTTTTTTTGGGCATTGACAACATGGGAAGCTCCCTTGCAGCGTGAGGAAAGAACTGGGAATAAAATAAACCAGGGAGACAGCAGAATTTTAAAACTATATATTATATACAGGCATCCCTATGTCCTCAGGTCTGCACCCCATCTCCCCCGCTCCATCCAAAAACCATGGCACCTCATCCATAAGACCAGTGAGAGAAGCCACTGTTATCAGACTCCTGAATGGACTACTCATCTATTAGAGTCGATCGTTCTCTGCACCTTCTCCGTAGCTGCAATGCCATATTCTGTTCTATTACCCTGATGTACTTATATAAGGCGTTATTTACCTGGATACCACGCAAAGCCATATTTGATTTGATTTATCGCAGTCACACATATCTAAGTACACAAGCTTTGTTTTACCAGCAGATCATAGCAAACAAGAACATACAGATCGCAGGGTGCTTAGACAGAGCGAGGCATACAATGTTACAGCTGCAGAGGAGGTGCACCAAAGCAAGGTCAACATCAGCAAGCTCGACATTATTTCCATATCAGCGAGGTCCATTCTGCAGTCCAATAACAGCAGGGTCAGAACCTGTTAGGGAAGCTTCTGCGTGACTGAAGAGGTTGGAAAAGAGCGATACTGGGGTGGGAGGGGTCTTTGATGACGTTGGCAGCCCTTCCGCGGAGATGAGAAGTCTAGATGCAGTCCGTGGTCATCTTCCGTGATGGTCTGGGCTGTGCACACAACTTTCTGCGGTTTCTTATGGTCCTGGCCAGAGCCGTTGCTGTCCCAAGCCATGATGCCCCCAGATACAGTGCTTTCTGTGGCGCATCTGTCAAAGTTGGTGAGGGTCCTTGTGGACATGCCAAATTTCTTTAGCTGAGAAGAGGGAGCATTATCGTGCCTTCTTGACCATCACATCTACATGGGAAATCCAGGACACATTGTCGGTGACTGTCACTCCTAGGAACTCGGATCCCCCACACCTCAGCTTCTTCGTTGTAGACAGGAGAGTGTCCTCTCCTTTCACTTTTTTTACTGTATCTCCTTATGTGTGGAAATAACAAATCAAACCAAAAAAATCCCCTTTGACTTATAAAGATTGAGATAAAGCCAATCCCGTGAGCTGACTGTATAGAGGTTTGGTTTGGACAAGAGACGCAGAAACGGGTGGGGAAGAGGCTGAAATTGAGGAATCTTTTCTCATTCAAAACTGTGGGATGGTTGCCTGGATAGTGGTTTGGGGGAGGCATGCTAATTTAATTTTAAAAGCGGAAATCAGGCAGATTGTTGAAGAATTTCACAGGAGCTGCAGGGAACAGATGGCTCTGCAGGGCCAGCACTGGGCTGAACGGCCTCTTTGTTGTGTTTACACCACTGGCTTGGGGACAACATTGAAAGGGGCACATACAATCGCTATGCAACTCTTCGCCCCATATTCATCAGTAATTTGTGGTCCATGAGACTTGAATTCAGCATTTTGACCTCACATCGATTTGCCATCTGCCAAAAGAATTCCGAAGACAAATTGAAGTCACTCTTCCAAGGGCTGGTTCCAATTCTGGAGTGGCGACACGTCCTTTTCGAACATACTTTCCCATTTTGATGACGCTGTCTTTTTAAGAGGTTATTGTGGCCTTGTTTTTGTTTGAAGGGATGTTGTAAGGCAGAGGTGCTGAGCTGGGTAGTTTAGACCACTTGAGTAAACAACTTGGGTGTTTTTTTTTAAGAAAAACAGCCTGAAAGGATGCGGCTAACTCTCTCAGATCAGAATTTCTGGGCAGCATCAGAAACTATTAGGGTCTCAACAGAGTGAGCGTTCAGGGAACATCTCCTGGCTGCTACTCTCTCTGAATTTTCTTTTTATGTTTTTTTCCTCCTGGATTGGAGAACTGCATGTGAGAATCTGTGTCTGAATTTTCCTTTTGCTTTTGCCAAGGGGTGTGTTTAATGGGATGTCATTACACTGGAACAGTTAATTAGTAATAGCTATTGTATCTATTATTCAGTTAATAGAGTTGTTATTCTAAATTCCTCTCTCTTTTGTTTGTATGTTTCACCACGGTGTTTAAATAAATCGATGTTAAGTGAAACACGAAGAGCTTGAGTAGTTGTACTGCATCTGGAACACTGCACTTCATGCCTGCCTTTAAAATAAGTTAGGCTACCTTCTTAAAATATTTGGAGGGGATCTGGTCTGGTCCATATTGACCATGCCAATAGCCTTCAATACTCTTGAAAGCTCAGATCAAATCATAATACCAGGGACTTGCTATTGAGTAGGGAAGCAAAGGCCAGAGAAATTTGGCAAACTCCCACCCTTTGAACTACCTACCTAAGGAATTGGGTACTTACCTTTTGGCTCTGTTAAATCTTTTAATTTTGGTTTTTGTAATCAAGCGGGCACCAGTGAATGGCAATTCTGTGCGCTTTTTGCTTTACTTATATACTCCTATACTTAGTACATGACAAATAGATGAATTCAAATACATCTATTCCCCAAAAAAGCGTTGTGCCTAAGACAAAAATACAATAAAGGTCTACCCCATGTGGTTCCTCCTCTTTCCAAGTCTTCTCTGCCATTTGAATCGGTGATGGTTAATCTGATTGTGGCCTCACTTCTACTTCTCTGCCCTCTTTGACTAGACAGAGTTGGGCCGAATGGCCTATTTTTGCACCTACGGCTTATGGAGACCCTCATCAGTAAAGTATCCACTACCTCATCCTCAAATGGCCTATCTTCCACTGATCTCGAGGTGACAGAATTCCAGAGACTTACAAACGCAGAGACACATTAACCTCATCGCAGTCTTAAATAGGAGACCCCACTTTCCCTTTAGTTTTAAACTGTTGACACCCAGTTCTCATTTCCCACAACACCACATTTGCAGCACTGTGCACAATTCTGGTCACCCTGCTACAGGAAGGATGTTATTACACTGGGAAAAAAAAAGTGTTACCAGGGCTGGAAGCATTTGTGTTGTAAGGAAATGCTGGACAGGCTGGGACTTTTCTCCCTGGAGCGTCGGAGGCCGAGGGGTGACCTTATAGAAGTTTATAAAATCATGAGGGGCATTAGGTGAATAGCCAAGGTCTTTTCCCCAGGGTAGGAGGAGTCCAAAACTAGAGGGGCATTGAGCTTAAGAGCTGTGAGGTTATGCTGCAGCTCTATAAAACTACGGTTAGACCACACTTGGAATAATGTGTTCAGTTCTGGTCACCTCATTACAGGAAAGATGTGGAAGCCTTAGAGAGGGTGCAGAGGAGATTTACCAGGACGCTGCCTAGACTGGAGGGCAGGTCTTATGAGGTAAGGTTGAGAGAGCTAGGGCTTTTCTCATTGGAGCGAAGAATGATGAGAGGTGACTTGATAGAGGTGTACAAGATGATGAGAGGCACAGATAGAGTGGATGCTCGAGACTTTTTCCCAGGGCGGAAATGACTATTACAAGGGGACATAATTTTAAGGCGATTGGAGGAAGGTATAGGGGAGATGTCAGAGGTAGGTTCTTTATACACAGAGTGGTGGGTGTGTGGAAT